GTTGCCGAAGGTGCTATCCTTGAAGTCCGAAATAAGTACAACCGAGAATTAACCAAGTTTCACAAGGGCAAATAGAGCTGCTCATGGAACTTTTTCATAGACATTAGACTCAGCAATTTGTGATTTAGTTTCCAAGTGCAAAACAGCAAGAGAAATATAGGTGAAGCTGCATGAATTCTTTGAACAGAAACCTAAGCAAGAACAGTATACATACCAGTTGCAGTTTTCATCATTTGTGCGTGATGCTGCAGATATAATGGCCAAATTATAACAAAACTAGAGCGTCTGGTGTCACGAATGCACGATTTAGAAATTAAACCAAAGGACTTTGTTATTATGAGCAAACTATTATAAACTGTCTCTAACGAGTGATCCAATAAAAATCACTTGTGTGCAAAGCCAGAAGAACAGCAAACGTTGCCGGAATTGAAGGAACTGGCTAATTTCCGAAGAGCAGAGAAGGATGACAGAGCCATTTAGGGACAGTAAACTTGTTGCTTTAATGGCTAAAGCTGCTGTTTGAAAAAATCCAAGCGCCATACATTTTTTTAAATGGACCTGTTAACAAACAGAGAATAAAGTATAAATGTTTTAAATGTGGAAAAATGGGCTTTTTAAAAAAGACTGTAAATCCGAGGAAAATAATAACATGACAGTCAATCATGATGAAAAGTCCAACTATGGGAAAGCTTTCATCAGTAATTGTCTCATTGTGACTAATAATAATGCATGCGTAATCTACACTGGAGCTACTCAGCATATTACAAACAAAATTGACTGATTTCAATCGTATACAAAATTTGAGGGTCCACTTGAAGTAAGAGTTGGTAATAATGACACAATGAAAGCTTATGGACATGGTTTGCCATATCACTTAAAATATTAGTACAGTGTTTATGGAGAAACAGCTTCATGGAAAATATACAGTATGTCCCTGATGCTGCAAGGAATTTATTTTCTGCAGGCCAGGGGCTAGATCTTGGATGCGAGTTTAATATGTCAAATGATAAATGTGAATTTTTGAAATCAAAAAATGTTGCTGCTGTTAGAATTCGTTGTGGTAACTTATTCAAGGTATTGTGCAAAATTGTGTCTCCTGAAGTCGTGTATCCCCCTGAAGCGCAGGTAAGTGAAACACATTCTCTTCAATTCTGGCATGAAAAGCTGCGACATTTCAATAAACATGTTAAAAATGCATTAAAGTCCCATGGCACTGAAATAAAATTAGATAGTGATTTTTGTGAGGTCTGTGTATTAGGAAAACAGCGTAGGTTGCGAATCCAGAGTCGTCAACAACGTGCTAAAGACGTTGGTCAATTCATTCATACTGATCTTTGTTGGCCCATGGAACAAGAATCCATAGGTGGTTCTTGCTATTATATAAGCTTTACAGATGATTTTTATAAATACAGAAAACTTTAGTTTCTTAAGCATAAGTCAGAAACTGCAACTAAGTTTGAAGAATTTTGTACATTTTTTCAAAATCAAACAGAGAAGCCAATCAAGGCAGTTTTAAGTGATGGTGGGCTGAAGTATATAAACAAGGACTTTAAGAATATTTTGCGAAGAATGAGAGCAGAGCTCCGCTGGAGCACCCCCTATACCCCTCAGCGAAATGGAACGGCTGAAAGAACAATTAGAACACTTGTTGGTTTAGCTCAAACAATAATAATTGCTAAATGTTTGGCAAAGTCATTGTGGGGTGAGTTGGTTAATACTGCTGTATATATACATTAAATCGTGCTGGAACATCATCAGTAGATGGCAAGTCTCCGTTTGTAATAACTTACTTAATTTTCCATTATCGGTGGTTCTTGTGTTCTATTGGCCCAAACAAAGACACTTTCCTTTAACTAAATCTATTTAATGAAGAGAAGACTGTGTACAAATATTATATACAGATTACAGGATATCTAGTTTATGCCGCTCTCAACCACTCTCACCAACCTCTTAACTCTCTCTGGTGAAGACTTCTAATTAGCTACACATACGGGCGGCGCAGCGCCCTCTATCTCTTTTCTACATCACTCCCCTGTACTTTTTAATAAGAGTACACAAACTTACTTACATAACAATATTAGTATTAATTAATAATGGATTAATACTAAATAGTACGACATATATAAATGAATAATATAAAAGAATAATCTATACTAGTATATATCAAAGCCACAAATGAACACAATAATTAATATTATAAAATTAAACTCAATAATAATAATATGAAAAGTTCTAAATTAAATATCGAAAGGATATACCATCTGGATCGATCTTCTGAATTGTCCTTTGGGCGTGCGAACGAGGCACGCTCGAGCATGTGCATTTCTTCCTATAATCACGTTTTCCAATTACACCAATGTCCCAAAGTAGTTTGGAATTTTTTGGTTCTTCTACCAACACAACATCTCCAGTCTTAGGGTTAGTCTTAGGGCTCAGTTTTAGGATTAGCAAAGTTATGCGCATTTCTAAGATGGAGTAAATATTGCTCTTTCCACTTGATCCATGTTAATTTTAAGAGCTTAGATTGGTAAAGCTTCCTCCTAGTTAAAGTCTCTTTGTCGGACACCTTGTTAAAAACTTCCAAGAAATGCTCGGGAAGGTTAAATGTATCACGTTCTGGCATTAAAAACTGTGAAGGTGTGAGCGGGCGAGATTCACCCAGCTCGTTGCTCTCATACGTTAAAGGTCTATTATTTAAAACACTCTCGAGTTCAGTTAATATTGTAGAGAGCTCTTCGAAAGTCAGTAATGCTCTCCCTAAGATTTTCTTCAGAGGTTCCTTGATGCTTCTTATCAGACGCTCCCAAAACCCTCCCCACCATGGGGAACGCTCGGGTATCAATTTCTATGTTACCTCTTTGGACGTCAGAAAATCTCTCACACTTGGCTCTGCTCTGATTCTTTTAAATCCTTTCGTTATTTCGCATGTGCTGCGGAAATTCTTGGCATTATCTGAATAAATCCCTTTGAGCTCCCCTCTTCTTGCTAAAAAACGTCGTAATGAAAAAATGAAACTTTTTGCTGAGACATATCTGAAATCACTTCAATGTGTACAGCACGAGTAACAGCGCATGTAAATAAGGATATGTACCTCTTTTTGTTGATATCCGCTTTTTCTCTAATAGTAACCGTTCCTGTTAAGTCAATGCCTACAACTGTGAAGGATTACTTTGGACTACACGATCTCTTGGTAAATGACTCGTTAACTGTTTGGCGGGCTTCACTGCGAACCTTTTACACACTAGGCAAGCGTTAATAACTTTCTTTACTACTTGTCTTCCTTTTATGTATCCAAAATTTATTCTTGACTTTGGACAACGTTGCCATGACTCCTGAATGGAGTACTTTTATGTGTTCACTAAATATCACTAGTTCAGTGAACTTCGACTTCGGCAGAATAATGAGATGTTTTTCGTCATCTATTAATTCTGCTTGTTCCAAACGACCTCTGACACGCAAAATACCTCTACTGTCCAGATATGGTGCTAAACTGTAAAGCTTCGAATCTGGCGTTATTAGATTATTCCTCTCTAGTTGTTGAATATTCGAAAAGTAATTCTCTCTCTGGACTTGTTTTATCCAGTACTCCTCAGCTTCTTGGATTTCCAATACAGTAAGAGGACCTGCTTCACAGGTACGTTTTTTAGCTTGGCGACAAATCGCTTTACCCAAGCTATAACTCTCAACGATTTTACAGACTACTGAATTTGGTAATGTTTAACGCAGTTTCTCCTTCTGCAATAGTCACCTGAACATAAGTGCTTAAAAATTACCAATTTTGAGTATCAGTTTCTACTTTAAACTTCTGCTCAGGCCATAGATCTTCAGAATCTTTCAACCATGATGGACCATGACACCAGTTACTATCTTTCACCAATGCATTTGCTGTTTCACCACGAGTTAATTTATCTGCTGGGTTTTCCGACCCTAGAATATATTTCCACTTATCAGGCGAAGTACAGTCTTGTATTTCTGCAACTCTATTCGACACGAACTGCTTCCACTCACGCGCTGACTTTTTTATCCACCACAAGCAAATTTCTGAGTCTGTCCACAGAACTAGCCTACCTACCAAATCCTGAAACATTTTCAATAAATATTTCCCTAACCTAGCTGCAACTACAGCCCCCATCAATTCCAACCTAGGGAGGACAACGTTTTTAAAGGAGCTATCCTACTCTTCGACATTATAAACGACGTACATACCTCTCCTCTCTCATTTTTATATCTAAAATATGCCACCGCTCCATATGCCACTACTGACGCATCACTGAAAATATGAATTTCAAACGAATGACCTTTACTTAGAACTTCTGAAAAGTAGTACCTCTCTATTTTCAACGCGTTTAATTCCTCAATCTCAGCGTACCACTTTATTCATATGCACCGTAACTCCTTTGGCAACTCTGAATCCCACTCCAAACCTTTCTCCCATATTTCCTGCATCAGTCTCTTAACTTGCACCACAAAATGAGAAATGAATCCGACTGGGTCAAACACCTTAACTGCTTTGCTTAACACCAATCTTTTACTATTTCTCAACGGTTCTAAACTACTCAACAATGATGTAACGTCTACTCTCAAACCATCCTCATCTAAGTTCCACACCAAGCCTAACACTTTCAACTTACTATCTCTCTCAAACCTACTTTCTTCACACAACCCTTTCTGAAGCCACAAGTCGTACAACTCTTTAGAATTAGTGTTTAGCTTTCTCAAATTGAAACTCGCGTCTCTCAAAATAGATACCGCCTCTGATGAAAGATTGAAAGCTGATTCTGCACTTTCCCCTCCATAACACAAATCGTCTTCATACAATGAGCTATTTAACATCTCGACACAGTTTTTGTTTGTTTCCGTGTATTTCTATAAATGATATTTGATCGTTGCATTCAATAAAAAACGATGAACAATTACATCCAAATAATACTCTGTTCATTTGCATAATTTTAAAGCCCTCACTGTCATTATCAGGATACCACGGAAATTTTAAATATTGCCTATCTTCCCTTGCTATCTTCCTTGCGCTGAAAATTCGTATCTTCTTGATGCACACGAATTTGTCTATACATTTTTTCTATATCCACACAGATAGCAACAGCATATGTTCTAAATCGGATGAGAATGTCAAACAACTCTGGTTGAATTCTAGGACCTACGTGTAGCAGGTCATTAAGTGAATATCCACTGGATGTTTTTGATGATGCGTCAAATACAACACTTAATTTAGTGCTAGTACTTGGTGGTTTAAATACTGGGTAGTGAAGTATATAATAGAGTATTGGAGAGACAGGTTCAGAATCAGGTATGACTTCCATATGTCGCAAATGCAAATATTCATCGAGGAACCCCTTATATAAGTTATACAGTTCGGGTTTTCTCACTAATCTATTTTCCAAAAGTAAAAACCTTCTCAAAGCTAATTCCCTAGAATCTCCTAATTCTGATGGTGATTTCTTGAATGGTAATCTTGCTCCATATCTACCTGAGTTGTCTCCGTCATGAAAAGTTTTAAAATGTTCCTCACAGCTTACATCGGATTTCGACAGAACAGTTTCTTCCGGAACTGTTTCGAGAGTCCAAAATTTCTTAACTAATTCATCAATAGTTAACGCTAAATTATTTAATGATATGCAAGAGTTCACATAAGAATTAACTAACGCTGTTCCTGAAATTATTCAACTTAATTTTGAACGAACAGCTGTTGGAAGTTCTCGGTTTCGTTTAATTGGTTCACCCAAAACAAGTGACATGAAAACATTGACTCCTAGAAGAATATCTACTGGAACAGTTTCATAAAATGTAGGATCTGCCAAAATCAGATCATTGAAAGAATTCGATAAGTTTCTACAAATCTTGTTTGTAACAAAAATAGAAGTTGTAAAGGAAGGTTCTGAACCAAAGTGAGGGGAGAAAGTAATCTCCAGCTCTCCATTTGACTGAGATGCGGTTGATCCTAGGCACGATATTTGGATCTTTTCTATCCAGACGAAGTTTTGAAAGACAACTCTCAGTAATGAAGTTTGCCTGTGAGCCAGAATCCAATAAGGCTCGACATTGTACGAAATTACCTAGTGCGTCACGAACTCCAATTGCAGCAGTGCACAACAAAACTTCCTTGTTTAAAGTTCCACTATTCACAAAATTAGAGTGTGTCTGATTAACATTATGAGAAACGTTATCCGGGATAGTATTTTCTGTCACATTTTGAGGAGTAAATACCCTTTCATGAACGGACAATGTATTTCCATTATTATCAGTAGCAGATAAAGAGTATCTCCAGATTTCGTGAAATGCAATAATGAATGATGATTATTATGACACGTTTTGCACCTAGTCAAGCTTTTACAAGCCTTAACATTATGCACATTTGATAAAGAATTAAAACAAAGTTCATTAAGCTTCACAAAATTGAATCTCTTGCTAACAGGCAATTTGCCAAATTGATCGCACTTATATAAGTTATGATCTTTCTTAAAATAAGGGCAATTTGTAGTAGTTTCTACAACCAAAGATGTGGCCTTGTAATTTATCCTTTTTTCCTTCAAATTGGTTTTACTGTTGTGAAGTGTTCAAGCATGTTTCTTTAGAAACGTAAGTAATTCGTTTAATGTTCCTAGTTGATCGACTTTTAAGTGTCTCTGATACCAAGTACGTGTATTTTTATCCAGTATTTCTACAAATAAATGAGTTACCAATATGTCACCAAACCCTTCGACCTTTTGTTCTAGAACATTTAGGGAACGAATGCATTCATTAGTGACGTCTACAAGATTCAAAATAGCGTCCGTTGAATCAGAAACATTTGGATGCGTAATAAGCTTCTTAATTAGTGAATTCACTAATTTACGTTTATTCGAAAATCTATCTTCGAGTAAATCCCAACCAATGTTATAATTTGAATCTGAAATAGGTATAGCTTGAATTATTTTCAGAGCTTCAGCCTTACAAGAACTCTTAAGATATTGAAGCCTTTGAGCGTCTGATAATTTAACATTATTCTGTACACTGGCCTTAAAAAGATCGCTAAATGTAAGCCATTGATCTAAATTTCCATTAAAGGTAGGTAAAGTTCATTTCGGAAGTTTTACTTCTGTAGTATCTGAATTAACACTAACTGAACTAACATTATCAAGGCGAGAACCTTTTCGTTCTAATTCCAAGTAGAGATCATCAATTGTATTTTAAACTATTTGATATTCTTCAACCATAGGTATCAACTTCTTTTTCCTTACATGTTACACAAATGTTATCAAAAATGTGTAAAACAACTGCACTTAAAATATTCAGTTTCTTTTTAAAAAGTTCGATTTTTGCCTCATCGGCTTTAGCAATCTCAGAATTAATTTTTCGTTAAATTGCCTTTAGCAATTAATAATTTCGTTAAATTGCCTTTAGCGACTCGTTTCTTTACTAATAGTGATTGCATATCCATTATGAAAAATGTAAATTTGACTTACCCACACTGATACAGTAGATGTGTTCCTCCAAATGAGTCAGCATCAAATTATTTGATTAACACGAAGTCCGTAGCATCAAATTATTTGATTAATACAAAAAATATATATTATCGATTAGGCGACGACAAATAAATATTCGTGAGCTATTAAAACACAAGATGCGAAGCTTTGTAAACAAATTCACGAATCGAAAGTACTAAAAATAGGCTTAGCGGCGTTCGTAGCGTACGAAATCAAAATTCAGCAAAAGGAATTATTGTTTCCTAAAACTCATAAATCCTCCGGCTCGACGGACCAATGAATAATAATGTAGCGATGCGATGCGGATTAATAACAAACGGCAATGGACTGTAATTAAAAATGCGATTTTATTTTCAATCCAAAAAAAGTTGTGTTGCGAATTCAACTAAGATAACATAAATAGAACATCTACTCTCGACCCCAAAGCACGAGTAGTCACGTGATTCTGCGGTCGCAATAGCAGCGCCATCTACAAAGTTAAATTTAATAGCAAACAACATGCTGATATTTTCACAAAAGCATTGCCAATAAAGCGTTTTGAAACTCTAAGGGCTGCTCTTGGTATTGTGAACATTAATTTACAAATTGAATTCAAGGGGATGTGTTAATATTATGAACTCAAATTTCGTTTAATGCATTTATTTTCTTTTGTTTGCATGTGCAATGTCTAATTTTTTTGTATAATTCATATGGCAACTTCCTATTGTAGTCAAAAGACACTGTTCTAAAGAAATTGAAATGTAATGTTACCGCTTGTCTTCGCTTCACACTCTGTAAAAGGTAATAAATGCTTTCCTGGTTATCTAATCTTAAATAAACAAAGTTTCACGTTCTCTGCATTACTGATTGAATAATACTATAACGCACACATGTCCGAGTATTCAGCTACTGGGCAGACGTAGAGCTGTAGCTGTGCATTCCAGCTAGTGAGCTTGGGGCAGTGTGGATGAAGAATACTTATGAATCACTGCTGTTACTTATTCTGCATCATGCATTGATACAGAATTATGCAATTAAATTTTATTGCATAATTCTGTATCAGTGCAGATGCAATTAAATTTTGTATGATTCTGGATATAAAATTTGTTTTTATTGATTTTAATGTGAATTTATTACGGGCCTCTTACCTTATATTCTTATTTTACTGCACTGTTTTGCTACTATTTTTCCTCTGCTACTCATTTTTACATTATGTGTGGTGACATTATTTGCATTATTGAAGCGCCATCTGTTAAACTCTTCGCGTGAGATTTTTCTTTCTCCAAAGTGGCAGCGTTAAGCCATCCCAAATCAAGAGAACAATGACTGATTTTCCATCTGTGAGATTCGATATGCAATAAATGTAAATAAATATTAATGTTGTCGGAGTCAGAATAGTGTTTAACATTTTTCTACATTTCAGACACTTCGCTGGTGACCCGGACGTGTATATAGTGTAAGTAGGAGGATATTTAAGGAAGGAGAACGTACCACGTTTTTGTAAGATAAGATAACGAGATGTCATTGACATTATACGCAGGTTATAAATAGCTCACCTGTTATTGAATATATGTTATGGGCAACGCAAGGTGAACAAGAAAACTGTCCTAAGGCTACCACTAGGCGCAAATCAGAATTACGTTCCGTTCCGGCACATGATCAATCTACCATGTTGCGACCCCACAGAGCAAGGGCAGACAAAGGCAGTACCAGTACTGTCCCTGCCGAGCCTTACTCTGTCCCGAGGACCCTCAGGCCTTCTGTGAAGTCTGTTTGTTTTTCCCCGTGCTTGAGACTGCCTAGGTACAGATCCTAACCAGTACTTCCCAGGGATTCCCCTTAGTCAACCCCCGGGGGTATATGTTATGGACAGCGTTGTCAGCAGCTACTTGCTTATAGTAAAGTTCCGTAGCTTTTTCCTGATCTCCTGAGTAGATCGAGTGACAGTTTCGATTTCGCAATGCTTCTGTGTTTGCATGAATTAAATTAGGAATTGATGGTTCGATTACTTCCATGCATTTGAGAAGTATAAATTCCAAACGTACGTGGGACTCAAATACTGAAAGGGTTCTGAAAGTGTAAGTCAACTTTAAAAATTTTAATTTCGTTCGATATTGCAAGTCTTTGGTAGTAATGTATACAATTAGCCTGTAAATTTATTGAAAACTTTCAGAATGCATCAAATGTGTTAAAAGTAAACGAACTAAAAAAAATTAGTTTTTCTAAGCCATATGGAAAAGCTTAAGCTATAAAAAATATAAGAAATTGGATAAAAGTAACTGTGCAATCCGTTAATTCTAATTATACTTAGTGCAACAACTGCGACTGTCGCCAGGGATCAGCATCAAAATTCCTCCTTTTCGGAAACTCGACCCCCAAAATATGGTTTCTTCAGATCGAAGCCCAATTTCGCAGTACTGGAATTACGGCTTATCAAACAAAATATGATTATGTAGTCAGTTCTATTGAAGCAGGGACATTGTCACAAATCTCTGATATTTTCATGAAACCACCAGACAGCGGCAAATATCCGGCCATTAAAAAGAAGATTATTGAAATGTTTGCTGATTCTGAAACACAGAAAGACTCAGAAACTTCTGACCGAATTGGAACTGGATGATAAGAAGCCATCCGAACATCTCTGCGAAATGCGTAACTTGGCGGATAAGCAAGTGCCAGATGAATTTTTTTAAACATTGTGAATGCAAAGACTACCAATTAACATGCAGAGCATTTTATCTGTAAGCAGTGATGATTTGTCCAAATTATCTACAATGGCTGGCAAAATACGGGAATTAAATCCAAATACACACCAGGTAGCTCGCTGTTATTACTAAAACATAGTCTTATTATTAAATATCATTTAAATAAAAATACTTCCTTCACTCATCCCAGATACCGAGCAATCCAGAAAAACTAAAGACAAAACTTGCTCACTTACCTGGGTAGTGTGATGTTGAATCGGAATAAAAACTCTAAGAAGTTGATTTATCTAATTATATTCTATCTACACTACAAAATATATGTATTATTTAACAATTTTCTAAAATATATACATTATAACAATTTCCTGGAAATTTTTCTGGCCCCTAAATTTATTGTACAATTAATCGGTTCAACCACGTCACGAGGTCGAAAGGGCCACCCCCCCAAAAAAAAAACCCTTTTTTCTCTTCCTACTTCAATGACAGCCAACGCCATCTGTGTCTCGTACATCAAATAAGAGAGAGATTTTGTTTTTTAATGTTGTAAGATACAACTAATCAGTTTCACAACACTCTCCCACCTTTTTGATTTTCAGAAGCAAAATCAAAAAATCAAATAATGGTATCCTTAGTACAGGAACACACTTCTAGAGGGTACAGTTACGTACAGGACGAATCAGTATGCCATTTCTAGTTTTCACTTTTACAAATCTTACACGTCCATCTCTCTGCTTGTACAAAGTTCTTGGACACGAGCGATTGGCCAGTTCACTCTTTTAAGGTTCTCACAACCTATTAGCACGATGTCTCCAACTTTTAATTCACAGTCCTTCTGTCCATGCTTTTGTACTAACTGTCCAAGGGGTACTCCTTGCGGAAACGGCTTACGAAATTGTTCTCGAAGTTCCTGGCAGAAAACGCTGACGAGCCAAGAGTTTATTTCGATCTAAAGTATCCAAATCTGCTGTACCTGAAACCTTAATGTCCTGTAAGAACATGGAAGGCGTAGTTAATGGTAGAAGATCCTCAGAGTCATTTGACACATAAGTAAGTGGTCGACAGTTTATTACGGCTTCCACATCACAGATGACGGTGAGTAACTCTTCGTAATTGACTGCAGCTTGTCTAAGACTCTCACAATCAAATTCTTCGTTTGGTTGCATGATTAGACGCTCCCACCATCCGCCCCACCAAGCAGCAGTGGGCCGAAATGAACTTCCAAGTGATGGGATGCAAAGTTTCCTGAGCAATTACCTTTACCCAGTCGACCTTTTTCAGCAATGCAGATGTACCGACGAAATTTGTACCGTTGTCTGAGTGAACTGTAGATGGTCGACCTCTCCTGGCTATGAACCGACGAAACGCTTGAATGAAGCATTCGGTACTTACGGATGTCACTAGCTCCAAGTGTACACATCGATATACAGCACACGTAAACAGTACTACCCAGGGTTTGTTTTTATTTTTGAGAATCAGAGGGCCACATAAAGCTATGCCGGTAACTTCAAATGCGAAACCATCTCAAACTCTGTCTAATGGTAATTGAATGGATGCAGTAATTGGAGGTTTTGCTGAAAATCGTTTACAACAGACGCATTGTTTCACCACCGATCTAATTCGGCGTCTTGCACCAATGATCCAGAATTCTTCTCTAATTATACCAGTTAATAATAACTAATTATACCAGCCGGCATGAAAATGCTTTAAATGGTAATCTCTAATTAAACAGTCAACAATATAATGCTTAGGAGGTAATAAAATCGGGTACCGGAATGCATAAGAATCATCTTGTTGGGTGATTTTCGTTTTTACTCTTCTTAAGCCACTCTGATCTCGTACGGTCAAAAGACCATTGATGGAGTCTCCAGTCTTTGGAAAACTCTCCCCTGAACAAGTGAAAGAAAGTATAATTTTAGATTCCTGTATCTCGGAAGCAGACAGAAAAGGCTCTTTATTTACAATTTTCTTTTGACAATTTTTGATAAATCTCTTTATCCAACCTAAAACTCTCTTACATTTTTGAAAATTTAGAAAACTTCTCACACCACTTAACTTTATCCGCTTTTGTAGTTATACTAAGATTTACATTTAAATTTATGCCTTTCCTGCGCTCTGAAAAAAAACTAAAGTTTCATTTGGCTTAACCTCTAATTTTTGGCCAGCTATCTCTAGGGCCTTTGAGCCAAACAGGCCCTCTCCACCAATTTAATTCGGAAAACTGAAGAGGGGAACAACCACGAGAAGGTAAATCAGCTGGGTTAGAATGACCCTGTACATATGACCACTGATTTGCTTTAGTGAAAGCGCAAATTTCCTTCACGCAATTGCCCACAAAAGTCCCCCACGCATCATTTCTTTGAATCCAAGATATGGCCGTGGTGGAATCGGTCCAAAAATATTTCGGGATGTCATCTAATGTAAGAGCTTCTGTCACATATTTGGAAAGACGCACGCCCAAAGACAGGCCATAAGTTCTAGACGGGGAATAGTAAGTTCTTTTAAGGGTGCGACTCTTGACTTAGCCACTACAAAACTGACTAATGTTTCTTCTTTAGTTTCGCATCTCAAAATATTACCGTGGCATAAGCATGCTGACTAGCATCACAAAATACATGAAGTGTCCAGGAACTTCTATCTCCAAAACCTATACGTGGCGGTATTCTCAACTTATTCAAAATTTGTAATTTATTATACCACCTCGAAAATTTACTTTTGATACTATCTGGTAATGGAGTATCCCAGTCTGCTTTTATCGCCCAAATTTCCTGTAGCAGTAACTTTGCAGGCAATAAAACAGATGTCAAGAAACCCAAAGGATCAAACATTGTCTTCGTTAATGACAAAACCTCTCTTTTAGACAAATTGTCCGAAACCAATACAGTCTTAATTTCAATATAAAGGTTATCTTCTATTCTGTCCCACATAATCCCTAAAACTGGTATAGAATTCTCCATTGTGGACTCATTGCACAAAGCACTTTGGGTTACTTCCACATCTTTTTCTACTGGGCCATAGGTCCACATATGTAAGTCCATTTTTGCTTCAGCTAATATTTCAGTAGAATATTTCACAAAATTCACAAGCTCCTTTTCGTTATCAACAGAAGTCACACAATTATCAATATAAAAGGATTTATTTAATTTCTGAGCAATAGAGTTTTGTTCCTTTGGTACTTGTGCCAAATGAACTGAAATAACCGCCCCTAATAGAAAAGGGCTGGACTTTACTCCAAAAACTACTTTTGTATGGCGGAAAACCTTCAGCAAATTTTCTTTCTCCCACCATAAAAATCTTAAAAAGTCCCTATCTTCTTTCCGTAATTCAATCTGTAAAAATGCACGCCGGATATCAGAGGTTACGCCAATGCATTTTTCTCTAAATCTTAACAAAATTGCAGGGATTTCTTCTATTAAATTTGGTGATTTTACTAAGTAATCATTAAGGGAGGCCGATCTATTAACTTTACATGATGCGTCAAAAACAGGTCTTATCTTAGTTGAGACACTGCCTGGTTTAAATACTGGGTGATGCGGTAAGTAGTGTCCTTTAGAATTCAGTTCATCGTCTGGTACTATTTCAATTACACCCTCCTCCATCCATTCATTAAAAATTCTATCATATTCTTCATATTTATGTAAAGACTTGAGTTTTCGGGTGACACTGAACAATCTTTTTTCTGCTACATGACGATTTGACGGCAACTCTGCGTTATATACTAACCAAGGTAATCCGACACAATAACGACCATCTTCGTTTCTGGAAAAAGAGTTTAAAAATTGTTCGTGGGCAATTTCTTCCTCAGCAGCGTTAGTTGAATTCTGATGAGCATCTAATATTCCGATCGTTTCTAAGCTGCAATGATCGGAGATTTTAAAGTCGTGACCCACTAAACTTGCACACAAAATGGAAGCATCTTTATCTTTGTGATTAACAAATTCCTCCGATACACCACAAACTGTCCAACCAAGTTTTGTACAGACTGCTGTTAGTCCTCCTTTTAATTATTTTACTGATCCCGTGAGAATTTTTCCATAAATATCACTAACGATGAGCATTTCTATTTTTGAACAATCTGCTCCCAAATCCGACAACCAAATGTTGTTTCGTTTTAATTCTTTTAATATCGGACCTTTGGGTACCCGAGGTATATCCCCACATATTACGTCTTGATCTAGAAATTCAAATTCTAGATTGACTACTATTCTAGATTCAAATTCTAGTCTACTTACGCAGGCTGGCTGAACATAATTTTACCCGATATTTGTTATGCAACTTTGTTTCTGTTCTGCCACCTCCAAATAAAGTAAGAGCAACATTTTCTTTGGAAATAATTGGTAACCCCAATTCAGTGGCTAATGATTTCAAAATATACAATTTCTGGGAACCACAATCTAAGAGTACTCTAACGTCTTTATGCTTTTTGAACCCGCTACTCTTACGCATAAAGTCATTAAAGCTACGTCAGCGGTACACGTTTGCCTGGCTGTAGCCGTGTGTATGTTGTCTATTTCTGATTTTCTGTTTTTTTTTTTTTTTTTTTTTTTTTGTTTTTTTTTTTTTTTCTGTAGGAAGTTCAGCTTCATTATTAATGTCTGGACACAAAATAACTGAGTGTGATTTACCACAAGCAAAACACCTAACAAACTGTTTACAGAACTTTGCCATATGATTTGGTTCCAAGCATTTTAAACAACATTTTTTCTTCTTAACTTTAGAAATCCTTTCATTAAGAGATAATGAACGTGCATCGTAACAATTTTTACTATCATGCATTTTACCACAAAAAATACATGCATATTCTTTAGTTGTAAAAAAACCTGTGGCAGTGGGAACATTTGCCTGTTTCTTAAATTTAAATTTACCTTTTGTTTCCCTCTTTGCTTTATCATGATATCCTTCTTTACGACTAACACCATCGAGTCCATTACGCGCCAATTTTAATCTCTCCTCACCCTCCACTTCAGCCTTTAAAAATTTCATTAAGTTGGTAAGGCGAGAAAGATCAGTTCCTTCAGGCTGGTTAAAGAGTGAACTGCTTTGCTACGCCTTTAAAACATCCTCCTGTGAGACACGATTCCACCATCGGAAATAACCACGATTGTGTTTCGCTCGATTTAAGACCTAAAGATTCTAAGGCTCTCAACTGAGCTTCACTTTTATCATACAGTTTATCAAGAGGTAATTTATCCTTTTGATCTGCCTTCACATTAGAAATAATTAATTTAATTAGTTCCCTAACATACACTTCTACTAATAATTCAGGTTTCCCAAAACGTTCCTTCAAAGCTAAAACAGCTTTATCATAATTTTCCGAAGTCACCGGACAGCTTTCAATAAATTCTTTAGCACGTGATCCGGGCTTCATACACTGAATCAAATAGGAAAATTTGTCACGTTCATATAAATCAGAGTCAGTGTGAATTTTCTCAAACTGCGACCAAAACAGTAGCCAATTTATCAATTCCCCATCAAACTTCCCTTAAGTTCGATTTTCGGAAGTCTATACTGTTTAATCTTACTACAACAAATACCAGCACCGTCACTTGGTCTTGTTTCTAAATTGATTTCATCTGAAAATTGCAATTTTTCATTAATTTGACGAGTTAGTGTTATGAAATCATCAGAATACACCTCGCGACTTTCGATTTCTTTAGTAACATCATCCTCTAAAGTTTTCCCGTCTTCAGTTAACAAATCAAGAATTTTATCATCTACATTTTTTATATCTGAATATACATTTTGTAGTTTAATAAGTTTATCTCGTACTAAATCTACAGAAAAATCTTCTTTTACTAACTCCGTTTTTAAAATATTAGCAGTTTTTGCAAAAGAAGTGCGTTAACCTGCCCGTTTGAGTTTCAGGGCCTTTAAAGCTTCCATAGTTGACTTTCAAAATAAAACAAAATGCCTTACAAAATAGTTTCGAATTTAAACTTAATTATACTTTAATACATCAAAAATTATCCATAACCATTAAAATAATTTTTTTAAAGTTTATTTCTTAGAGTCCTGTCGAGGAATGCCAATCTTTGTTATTACTAAAACATAGTCTTATCATTAAATATCATTAAAGTAAAAATACTTCCTTCACTCATCATAGATACCGAGCAATCCAGAAAAACTAAAGACAAAACTTGCTCACTTACCTGGGTAGTGTGATGTT